TCATTGATGATTAACCATCTCCTTCAGATGCTCCACAGCATGTCTCCTTTACTCACCCTAGAGTCTGACGGAGGTCCTGCCTATCAGGATTGCTCTAGGATAGGTGTTAAACAGACATTGATAGCAGCCTTCATCCTCCTCCATCACCTTCCTGATCACCATGGAGCAGCTCTGAAGATCTTCACACTGAAAATCCATCTTCTCTATCAGACCAACTCTCGGGCTGTAACCATATTTCTTGGTGTAGGTGGCGAGATTCTTCTGTCCATCAAGAAAGACTTTCTGCCAGGTGATCTGGAGGACATCTTTATCCTCAGTGAGCTGACAGCTTAGAGAGGCTTGACCTCCCACTGCTGCCCACACAGTCTCCCTTTGTTTCTATTGGGGCCAAATAAGCTAAAACAACTATTTTCAGACTACAAATATTATTAAAACAGCATAAACCAACAATCTCTTGACATTAGTTTGAGGTATACTGTAGTTGTCTTTTTTCTCTTTGCTGTTGTTTTGTTCTGTTTTCTTTTCCTCTTATCCTATGAAGGTGTTGAAGCAGACTTCTGTTTCACTCCTGTGTTGTTTATTTTACTGGTAAATTTTTGCTCTTTTCTCTCCTCCCTCTCTTCCATCTCTTTCTCTTCTTAAGTCACTCCCTTTCCATCTTTGTGTCATCTAAATAACCTTTTATTCCATTTTTTGGGTTTGTTTGTTTTTGTTAATAACTAATAAAAACAATTTAGTCACCTTTTATGTCTGAATTTGTTTCTTATAATTAAAACCTGCTGTGTCTTTACCAACATTTCACCTTTTTTGGGGGGAAATTTTTGACTTATTTTCAGTCACGCACATGTACCTGACCACAACAACAAACTCCTGCAATAGTAGATCTATTAGAAAGTGGAAAAGTTGAGTAAAATACATATAATTTAAAAGAGAAAAGTTACATTAAAATGCCTGCAAGTTCTAAGAATACTCTTTAATATCCTCAAACCAAAAATTATTATCTTGTAACAGGATATTTATTAAAGAAAAAAAAACATTTTGGAGCAGAAACCAGTCACTGTTCTCTTCCAGCTATTTTAATTATTCAGAAAAGTTTGAGGCGAGTTGTTCTTTGCACTTCCTCTCAGCTTTTATCATAAGTGGTGCTGATTCCTCTTGTTCTACCCCAGGTTTTACTACTGTACAGGTTGTGTTAAATCTGCCAACAATGCATCTACTAAGCAATCTATTTATAGTCTTCCATGAGGGAACATTATTTATTGACATTGATCATTTATTTCTTCTAGGTCAAGTATTTATATCCAAGTTGCTCTAAATAGAAAAAGAGTAATTGTAGTTAAATAATATTCAACTATCAGTTAGTATCACAACAATGATCAACATTAGTATGAAATTGTATAAAAAAAAAAACGAATGAACAAAATAAATGAACTGTATTACAAGATGAAGTAAAAACTATTCACACACACACACACACACACACACACACACACACACACACACACACACACACACACACACCCATTACACACACACACACACATATATATATATAAATTATTAATAAAGAAAATCTACAAACCCTATATTTTAGGTGGAATTGAAATTTACATTGAATTGCAGCATAGATAAAGCACAAAGAAAAGAAACGACTTTGCAAAATTCCGAATTAATTCAAGCAACAAGATTTTTATTTTTTAAAAAGGTTAAGACAAAGACAAAGTTGTTCATTACTTTTAAACTGTTTTCATTTGAAATAAATGCATATTTGTAAACTTAAGGGTTAAAGAAATAAATCAACTAAATCCAGCATTGCATTGAGATTATTATAAATTATTTTATCATAACCTCACAATAGTTTTTTATGTTCCTCATCCTTTGCCATCAGGTCGGCTGCTTCATCTCTTCCACTATAGACTGGTGGGTTGGTTTGTTCAGACAATCCAGACCATCCTGGTTTTCCTCGTAACTGCCGCAGTCTGCATCGTACTCTCACTATGGTTTCTATACTTGTGGGTACTATCAGAGGTTCCTCAACCCTGAAAAATAAAAGAAACAATAATTTTTTTGTTGAAAGTTATTTTGTATAAAAACATTAAACTCTAAAAGTTGCACAGTAAGATAAACCTGATGAACACAGAAGAAGAAGCTGCATTGACAAGTGAATGATTTAAAGTTTTCTAGATTTAAATTTAAAGCACTAAATATACAAAAAGGAGGCAAGATGTAAAGGTAGAGGTAAGAGAAAGGAGAATATTACTATGAAAGATGAACAAAGTAAAGAAGGTCTTACAATGGTTTGCTCCATGTATCTTCATGTAGCAGGATCAATTTATCTTCAAATAGCCTGTCCAATGCATCTATAGATGGTGTGTTCAATGAATCTTCACATGGCTTTTTCCCTGGATCTTTCGCTTCCGTGTTCAATGCATCTTCAAGTGCCATGCTTGGTGCAACTTTAATCCTCCTGTGAAATTAAAAAGTATATATATCTCAATAATTCACAAACAATAATCTGCTGAGTTGAACATCCAGGTGACAATTCAGACACTGTGTGAGAGAAATACCTTTTTTCTGCCCTTTTTGTGAACCATAAAATGATGAGAAAAGCAACAATGCAAACCATGGATCCACTGAATATACACCATGCTATGGAGAAACAGGAAAAAATGCTGATATGATCAACTGAACAGAATAAACAATAGAACTGAAAAGTTCTTAACATGAACTTACCAACAGCACTGTTATTTGAAGCAGATTCTACATCAAAACCTGAAGAAAAAACTATAAGATTAAAATGACAAACTGATCATTCAGCTCCACATGATTCTGTCAGAGTTCCTCACCATCATCAGATGTTCCTTTAACTCCAGGAACGGTGATCAGCTTCTCTCTGGGAGCAGCAGAGAGCACTGACACTGAACATCCAACCTGTGTGCTGCTGGAAGCTGACAGCAGAGCTGTGGTGGTGACGGTGACTGTACCGTTGCT